GCATCGGCTCCCTGCTCAGCAGGGGGTCTGCTTCTCCCTCTGACTTTCCTCCTTCTCATGCTCTCTGTCTCTCATTCTCTCTCTCTCAAATAAATAAATAAATAAAATCTTAAAAAAAAAATGCAAATACACTTGGAAAACATAACACATTGCATTGCTTATTAGTTGTGGTATTTTCTAAATATTTTCTACTAGATTTTAGGCAATGAATTCATTTCTTTTCATTATCAATCCCCTTTTATTTTTAACCTTAGCATGGTACATATGTTGTAAGGAAACCTCACCATGCTTATACAATAGTTTCTATAGTATATGTAGGACAGAGTGATATATGCAGATTTCTCATCATTCAAGTCATTAGGAACCCCCAGTCATAAAATCTGACCTTTTTTTCCAATTGAAGAGGGAAAAAAAAGAGAAAAGAAAAAAAAAATCCTATCATGTCCTCTCCTGATGGACAGATAGGATAGAGTGTGTTCTCAGTCTGGGCAACTTTATATCTCCTTAGCCTGGACGTGGTCCTAGAGCAATGCTCAGTTCTACCCCAGGAAATATTTGGGAATGTCTGTAAACATTTTTGGTCATCACATCTGGCAGAAAGAGAGGGTGCCACTAGTATCAAGTTGGTGAAGGCCAGGAGTGCTGCCAAGCATCAGAGAATTATCCAGCCCCGAATGTCAATAGGGCCAAACAACTGGGATACCCTGGTCTAGAAATGCCTTGACTGCCTACCTACTAGATGTGTATGTAGGTACCAGAAGAAAGGATGAGAGGGAGCCCGTGACTATAAGAAACACCTTTCATAAAACATAAAAGTCTTTTAGAAACAATCAGATAAAAACATTTAATGGAGGCAAGTCAAAGTTCAGCATGACAATATGATGTAGTTTAGATTTTTTATCTTCCTTGTTTGACCCACATTGAGAAGGGTGATGGTGATCGTGATAACAATAATAATGATGATTTCTAGGCACCGGGGCTTGCTTATTTTTTTTACTAAGATATAATTGACTTATAACATTATATTAGTTTTAGGTATATAACATAATACTTTGATATTTGTATATATTGTGAAATCACAATAAGTCTAGTTAACATCCATCACCTCACAGTTAGTTTTTTTTTTTGTGATGAGAACTTTTAAGTTCTCTCTTAACAACTTTCAAATATACAATGCAATATTATTAACTATAGTCATCTTGCTGTACCTTGCACTGCATGACTTACTTATTTTTTAACTGGAAGTTTGTACCTTTTGACCCTCTTTACCCATTCCACCCACCCCCACCTCTGGCAACCACCAATCCATTCTCTGTATTTATGAGCTCAGTTTTTTGGGGTTTGTTTTTTAATTCCACATATATAAATTTATTTATTATATCAAGTACTTAGATTATGGAAAGTGGAAAAAGAACACAGGAAAGGAAATGGAGCCAAGGGGAGATCTTTTTTTTAATTATTTTAATTCAATTAATTAACATACAATGTATTATTGGTTTCAGAGGTATAAGTCTGTGATTCATCAGTCTTATATAATACCCAGTGCTCATTACATTACATGCCCTCCTTAATGTCCATCCCTCAGTTACCTCATCCCTCCACCCCCCTCCGAAGGGGAGATCTTAAACACGAATCTTTCCTTTGTGCATCAAAATAACACCATTGTTTAAGAGAGCAAAGTGTATGGCATCAGAAGTCCCACAGTTAAATCCTACCTTCTCACTTTGCTAGCTGTAGGTCTTTGGGATCTCCTTAACCTTAGTTCCTTCACTTGTAGCATAGAGATAATAATAGTCTCTGCCTAGGGAGCCTGGGTGGCTCAGTCAGTTAAGCCTCTGCCTTCAGCTCAGGTCATGATCCCAGGGTCCTGGGATCGAGCCCCATATTGGGCTCCCTGCTCAGCGGGGAACCTGCTTCTCCCTCTCCCTCTACCGCTCCCCCTGCTTGTGCTCTCTTGCCCTCTGTCAAATAAATAAAATCTTTAAAAAATAATAATAGTCCCTTGCCTGATAGAGTTATTATGTGATTTAAAGGAAATAGCATGTATAAAATATTTAGTTGGTTCTTAGCACATAACAAGCATTCAGTAAGTGCTGAAGCAATAATAATAAAAAACAGGAGGACAGAGAGGATTAAATGTATTGATGATGGTAACAATGATGACCATGGCAACAACGATGATGATAATTGGCTTTGGATTCCAATGATGTGAACCGCAGTCATGGGGGTTACTTACCAATCCTGAGACAATTGCTTTACTTCAGTCTCTATTTGCCCATCTGTCAAAATCTCCTACAGTTACTGTGAGAACTTAATGACAGGTGCCTGGCACATAGTAAGTGTTCTAGGGAGGTGGGTCTGGCCTGAAGAGCCGCAGAGACACGCACACTCCTCTCTGGGAAGGGGCTATCTTTTCCTGGACCTTGAGGGCTCCCCAGGCCTTTTTGCTTATTAGTGGGGCTTTCTTCGGTAAAGGGCTGAGTCAGAAAGAAATGTTTAGGTGGGCTTTGTCTACAAGCTATGAAAATCTGTGCTGTAATGAATCAGAAGGGTCTCAGAAACTCCTGAATGAGGCTAAAATAAGGACCTTGTAGAGTTTGGCGGTTCCCCCCATGCCCTCCTGTCCTTGGGCTCTCCTAGCAGCTCCCTGGAGTGACTACAGTAAGTCCTTCAAAGCAAGCAATCCTGAGAGCTTATCTTTGAAGATAGCAAGACCCACATACCCCTCTTTACAGCCCATTTTGGGGAGGGAAGTAAGGAGCCCAGGGGACAGGTAGCTAGAAAGGGTGAGTTCACCTCCTCAGGAAAAGAGGGAGATGGACAGAGGACCCAAGGCCAGTGCCCAGAAGAAAATGAGAACAAGGGACACTTGAGGAAGAAGGTCACTGGGAAGCCCCAGCGCAGGGACAAGAGAGGCCAACCTCACATTGCCAGCATCTGCGGGGTATGATTCAACAGACGCCCAGCACTCGCTGCAGCAGGATCATTAGCTCTGAGACCCGCTGCCACTCATATCTGAAATGAGTTTGGATTTAGAAAGCCTGCAATGAGCCGAGTGATATGGATCAGAGTGAAGCACACGGCTTAATCAGGGGCATGAAAGCAGCTGACAAATTACAATGTGATTTGTCATCATCTCAGGACTCGGCAAGTGTTTGTCCCTGAAAGAATCGATACCTGGAGAGAAAAGGGCCATATTTTTAGAAACTCCTGGATGGGTAATTTACTTCAAGTGAGTGGAGAGTTTATTTATGTTGGCGCCCCCACAGATCCAATGGACAGTATATTTATACGAAGCCAGAATGCTATCATTTTTTCTAATCAATTTGCCCCTTTGAACAGCTGTACCTTGAAACTTTCAGCAATAAATTCAGTCCCCATTCAAAAGCTCTACCCAGGAAACCATTTCTCACCCCACCTTTAGCATTCCTTCCTTCTACTGCATAGCATGTTACATCTGCTAAAACTTTCCACACGGATTCTGTCCACTGGGGCACAAATGAGATAGACAGGAAAAGTGGAGTTAGCCCCATTCTACAGATGGGAGACTGAGGCTCAAAAGGTAAGAGGAGCATTAACCCATGTGGGAAGATCTCCCCCACCTCCATTTGTGCCCCTCCCCCATTGGACTGTAAGATTTTATACACCTAGATACCTAACAAAAGAGAAATCATGGAGAAAAAGTCAAGCATGTGTCTGAAGTACTTTGCTACAGGAATGTTCGCTGGGGGGCAGCCTGCTGTTCAAGTAAAGGACAGGGGACCCTCTAGTCACACTTGGATTCAAATCCCAGTCCTGCGGTGGCCATGGGTAGCCTGCCTACCCTTCTGAGCCATGGTTTTTCCATCCCTAAAGAGGGGATAATTAGTATTTCTACTTCATAGAATAATTGTTAGCTTAAAAGTAAATAATATATGTGAAGTTGTCATCTCAGCATCTGGCAGAAACGAATACAATATATGCTGTTTATTGTGTTTTATTAGCTACAATTTCCACAGCATGTTCATAATAGAAAAACAAATTGAGATGATATAAATGTGCCATAGTGAAATGGTGAAATGAATATGGTGGTATTCATATAACAGGTTTCTATAATAAACAGGTTTCACTCATGCATAAAAATTTTACATGTAGGGGCGCCTGGGTGGCTCAGTTGGTTAAGCGACTGCCTTCGGCTCAGGTCATGATCCTGGAGTCCTGGGATCGAGTCCCGCATCGGGCTCCCTGCTCGGCAGGGAGTCTGCTTCTCCCTCTGACCCTCCTCCCTCTCATGCTCTCTGTCTCTCGTTCTCTCTGTCTCAAATAAATAAATAAAATTAAAAAAAAAAAATTTTACATGTAAAAATTTCCGATTTATATGAACACCACCTCATTTTTTGAAATGCATAATGTATGTGTACCCATACATACATGTAGGTGTTTATATATTTTTAATTATATATATATTTTTAAACCCTACAAGTATTATATACACAAGAATATTCTGATTATCTCTAGGTTGTGTGATTTGTAACCTCTTTTTGATTATGTCTGTGCTGCCCAATGTGGTAGCCACTTGCCACATGTAGCTATTTAAGTTTAAATAAAATTAAATAAAATTTAAAAGTCAGTTTCTTGGCCATACTTCCACATTTCAATAGCCACAGGTGATGAGGAGCTTCCGTATTGGACATGCAGACTTAGAACACTTCCATCGTTGCTGTAGGTTCTGTTGGATGGCGCTGGTCTGGAAACTCAAACCCAGACCTGCCAGAGAACTGTTGGCCAGGCAGGGGGCTCCCTCTGCCGTGCCTCCAACTTTCCAGCATTTTCAGTGCATCTGCTTCCTCCTTCTTAATGAGGATTTCACTTTTCTTCTAACATTTTAGAACTATCACGATGTGACAAAGCAGGGATTGCCTTAGTTGTGATGGTTCTAACAGTTATTGGCTCTCCTAGTGATCCTATTAAAACTAGATCCCTCTGACTTAATGACTTCTGGGTGTTTCTCTCCCTCACAGGATGTACAGTTCGAACCCGAACATTTCTGCAACACCATCGTGTGTGAGAAACCCAACAACCACCTCAACAAATTTAAAGGTTATATGTAAGTATCTAATGCCCCTGTGCTGCTGGTAGCTATTTTCCCTTGTAGCTAGAACACATCTTTTCTTGAAACGACCAAAGAGATAAGTGTCCGGGTCTTGAGGATGTAAAGAAATGCTAAAGAAATCTAATGACATTGGGAAACTTTTCTTATTTTATTTATTTATTTATTTTTGGCACCAGAGGGGCAGTTAATTATCTTGCAGGCTTAAATTTACTAATTCTTTTTAAACTTCTGGTGAAATAACATCAAAATCGTGACCACACTCTGTTTTTTGTTTTTTTGTTTTGTTTTGTTTTGTTTTTAACCTTTTTTTTTTTTTAAGATTTTATTTATTTATTTGAGAGAGAGAGAATGAGAGAGAAAGCACATGAGAGGGGGGAGGGTCAAAGGGAGAAGCAGACTCCCTGCCGAGCAGGGAGCCCAATGCGGGACTCGATCCAGGGACTCCAGGATCATGACCTGAGCTGAAGGCAGTCGCTTAACCAACTGAGCCACCCAGGCGCCCTCGTGACCACACTCTGATTCAGGAAAGGCAAGATTTCACTGATGTCAGTGTTCTAAAAGAGCTTGTATTGCATTGCAGGTAAGAACAGGGACTTCTGAGTTTGACAGACTTGGGTTTGAAATCAGGTTTTATCACTTACGAGCTGTGTGACTTTGAGTAAATTCATTAACCTCTCTGGGCCTTGGTTGTCATATCTGTAAAACAAAGCTTATAAGGTCTACATCATAGGACTTGTGTGTTCTACGAATTTGGTAGTTTATCAGATGCAGAGCCCACAGCACAGCAACTGGCACAGAGTAAACGGTCGATGGTGGATGTGCTCTAGTCATCAGTGTTGTTCTTATGCCTCAACTTTAGTTTGGCCTGGGAATTTGACTGTAATTCTGCTCCCACATCAGACTACTGGTCTTAATGCAAAGACAGACCAAAAAGGAGCGATGGTAACGATGAGAGTACATGCCCTCATACAGTGCTTTCACAGTTTCTAGAGTACTTGCACGGAACATCATCTCTTTCACTCTGTACAACCACCCAGAGAAGTGACTATTATGATCCCCATTTTCCAGATAGGGATGATCTAAGACTTTCAGATATACCCAAAGGCACACAATAGGTACCAGCCAATAGCAGGACTTGAATCCAGGTCTTCCCACTGGAGCCCCAGTACGTTTTTGCATTGTTGTGCAGAACAGAGCTCAGCTTGGTAAGGTGACCTGTCGACCAGTCGGGTCTGGAATGAGGCTTAAGTAGTCTTCTTGGAAGGCAGATGTCTGTGCTTTCTCTCCACCCACATTTTTCTCACGCCTGTATTGTGAGGAACAATATGAGAGGGGAAAGGATGAGAACAATACGAGATAAATAGTGGCTTTTAAACACAAATATTTTTAAATGCACAGACAGCACAGATGGAGACAGGCAGAGAAGGGCCTGAGCTCCTAGCAAAGAGGAGGATTCGTTGCAGGCATCTGTTCAGGTAGAATTTGCCACCTGCCCCAGCAAAGAGGCCATCCCTTGTGCCCGACATTTGGTTCATCCCAAGTCAGCTGTCAGACATTTTCTTGTTAGAGTCAGAAGAATTGCAAATGGAAAGGACTCTGATTCATTGCAAGTTAATGAGGCATTACTTTGGGAAGCCTAGTGTTGTGAAAACTGCATGACACAGCTGCTGTCTGTGGCCTGGGTCTCCGAGTCCTAGGATGTCCCATGTATTAGGTGTGCGGCCTTAGAAAACTCTCCTCTCTGGGTTAGTGACACTAACCTCACCCTCTCTGGGCTTCATCTTTTTCACGAGAAGGATAATCACCCTTCTGACTTCCCGGAAGTATGAAGAATCAAAGAAAATGATAGAAGCAAACTTAGTTTATAACCACAGTAAGGAATAATTGGTATGAAAAGGCATATTGAGCGGCAGTATAGCACTCTGGAGCCAGACTTTGTGGACTCGAATCCCCATTCTGCCATTTACTAGCTCTATGAACTTGCCTCAGTTTCCCAGTCTATAAAGTGGGTATGGTAACATAACCTATCTTCCAAAGTTGTCATGATGATTAACTCAGTCAGTAAATGGAAAACAATTATAATCAGACCTAGAAAAATGAAGTATTGAAGAACTAAAAAGAGAAAAGCCCTAAGGGTTCAGATTGTTATTCTTTTTGTTCTCCCTAATGCTTTGGGGGAAGTTATATTTGAATTTAAATGTCTCAAATATCCCAAAGGAAGGTTATCAGGATGGAGTAAGGGTCAGACCCCAGGTAATAACTGGTGTTGGCTGACCTCAGAAGTTTCTGGTGTGAGGTGGAAAACTGCAATGCCCTGAGGCTAGAACAAGGAAAAAACGCTCGGCTTTCAGGAGCTGCCTCCCACGTGTGGCACAGAGGGCTGCTGTCCGCCTCCTGTGAGGTCTGTTTATCTCACGAGGGACGGAGCAAGAGGAGGGTGGTACAGGAGAGAGGCAAGTGAGAGATGTAATTCCCTACAAGAGGAGCCTTGTCATCCACAGTGTGAGGGGGGCACTGTCTGGTGGCTTCGGCGGACTTGCGCAGTCAGACTCTGCAGTCTGGTCCCAGCAACCAGGTGAGAGTGAGCATGGGAACGCTGCCTGAGGGAACACAGCACCGCCTTTGTAGGGCCAGAAGCCAGTTCCCACGCACTAAACCATTCTGAGTGAGAAAACTGAAGCCAACGCTTTTTCAGCAGAGCTCTGACTTTGAGGTGCATAAATGATGATTTCCGTAGGGATGGATAATTCCCCTTTAATGGTCCAGCCCACACACACAAGCCTCCCAGGAGCAATGAAGGTTGTACTTGAACCCGGAGACCAGATGCCGAGTTAATAAGACCCATTGCTCTTCTGATAAAGAGGGAGGAGAGGGATCATGTCCACTCATCACTTCTAATTCTGTGACACTACCCAGTGATAGCATGAAATGACCACCAAACCACTCCCGGTATTTCTTCATCCCCAGGGAGCATCCTGACCAGACGAGGACTGGCTTTGGCAGTGAGAGTCTTCTGCTTCGAGGCTGCACCATCAGAAACACTGAGGTGGCTGTTGGCATCGTCATCTATGCAGGTGACTGACTTATGTTGTGCCTTCCCCTTATCCTTCCTCCCCCAGCCCCTCCAGATCCACCTTCAGTCAGTGGGAATCCACAACAGTTCTGAGGGGTACAAGGAACTTCCTATTTCTTAGCTAAGCAAAGTGAGAATCATAGCAGCTTACTTGGTTCACAAGAGATGTACTTAGACTCCAAGCTAACATCAGTCATATGAACAAAAGAGGGATTCATGCTCATTCACCTCTGATGGTTTTGTGACACCAATCAAAGGCAGGATGAAGAGTGCTTTCTTGAGCCTGAGGAATAATCTCACCAAACCTAACAACTCCACCTTTTTGTGAAAATTGTGCCTCCATTTCCTCATCTATGCAAATGGGAAGAACATTTGGCTCTGCCTCATAGCGCACTCATGAGGATCAAATGACCCAGCACGTGAAACAAATTATGTCTAACACAGTGAGCACTCAGTGGGTTTTAGTTATTGCTTCTGCAGTTATGTGTGTATTATTTATTCATTTTGCTCTAACTCTGCTTTCCACTTTGACTTTGCTTTCTGATGAAAAAAAAAAAAAAAAGCAGCACTTCTCACAATGAATCTGAAGTCTTAGAGGACCGTCTTGGGACTGCTATCTATCCAGTACTTAGCGCCCAGCACTCGGTTGGTGCTCAGTAAATTTCAGCTGTTACATCAACAACTGCAGACTTCTTCCTCTGTAGAGAAAACACAGTCTCCCTGGAGTGTCTACCTTTAGTGGAAGACCCTAGATTATGTTTTCCTGTGTCTCCCACTCACTAGGACATCTTGAAATATTTTGCTTGTTTGTTATTTTTCTTTGATTTGAGTTGTTTGGGAATTCATAGAACCCCACTTTTGATGGACATGGCAGAGCATTTAAACATCAGTCTACCCGAAGATTCACTTTCTGGAACTGTCAAAGAAAAACAGATTTTTAAAAAAATAATGTCCCGGTCTAGCTAGCTTTCCCTAACTTGGTGGAGGGGGATTGTGTTCATCAGTTCAGGTGACTCTTTCCAAGGGTCTTTGGCAATGGAGTTCAATGCCATCTGATAGACCTACTAAAGATAAACTCTGAAGCAATCCCCACCTCACCAAAAAATCCCACATGGGCTTGGAGTTTGCTTCTCTGCCTGATCAGAAGCAAATTTCTGAGTGAGTGATGAGCATGATAAATGAGGCGACAAATTTGGGAGAGAGTGAATCATGACTCTGAGGAGTCAGGTTGCCTGGGGTTGAAATCTACTGGCTGGCTACATGTTCCTGAGTATGTTGGTTAAGCTTTCAACACAAGGGGACTAACAGTTCTCACCTTGTAGGGTTATAAGGGTCAAATGAGATTGTCTGTGAAAGGGGCTTAACACAGTGTCTGGCACATATTAGGTCTCAAAAAGTGTGTACAAAAATGGTACTGATTGTTTTAGTATAGTTATCTAGAGCAAGGGGTTCTCAACCTTGGCACTATTGATATTTTGTTTTAGATTGTTTTTTGTGGTTGGGGGCTGCCTGTAGAATGTTTAGCAGCATCCCTGACCTCAAGATGCCATTAAGATGTGACAACTCAAAATTTCTCAACACATTGCCAGATGTCCCCTGGGGAGTAAAATCACCCCTGGTTGGAAGCAACTGACCTAGAGTCATATTCTCTTCTCTGATAATATGGATAAACAAAATAGGAGCACCTCAGAGTCAAAGACCCAAAAAGACCAAAGTGAGCCTCCCAGAAGGAAGAGATCCAACATAAAGGTGTGTGCTCCTCACAGCAAACATCTATTGAGCCCCTAACGTGTATAAGGAAGTAATTTAAGTACTGTGTGTATATTAATTCACTCTCCTGCCCCAAACACACATACACAACTGTTATCTCTCATTCTCCAGATGAGGAATTGAGGTACAAAGGGATTAATTCACCCAAGGTCATTTGTCTCCTGAGATTAATTCCTTGTAACCCAATGTCAAGTCTCTACAGAGATAAGCTCTGACTCTAGAGACCAAATTCCAACCATCACACCATACTGCCTTCCCTGTGAGCCCACCATTTACCAAAAACAGGGATGTCAGAAGGTGAGGAGCAGGTGGAAAAAGAGGGAGGTCTGAGGACCCCTGACATGAGGTGAGCCTGAAGCAGGTGGGAAGGCCACAGTGCTGATGAACGCAGTCAGTCTGTGCTCATTGCTGTGGAAACCCCCCTCACAACTACAGCAACTTGAGTCTGATTAATAAGCCCAGAGTTTGCTCACTCCTGCTGTTTTGTTGCCACTTTAAATCCACAAGGCAACCAACTAAAGAGAATTAAAGCCATTCACGGCTGGTGCTGATATATTGGTTTTCTTTAATTTTGCACAGCAAATATGTGGTGTTTTTTTTTTTAATTTGCTGAGGAATACAGCATGGTGTTTAAGTTTAGCAGCCCCAAAGGACAGGCTCTGTCTAAAGACAAAATCTCAGCTTGGCTCTCAGCTCTTAGCTGTATGGCCTGGGTACCATGAATTGGTAGAAGGAGAAAGAATAGGAATCAGAATCCTGGGCTCTCAGTATGGCTCTTTCCTCTGGGCAGGTCCCTTCTACTCTTTGGTCCCCGGTCTCCAACTGGAACAAGGGTGACTGGATGACATTGGTAGTTTTCAAATTTTGTTGTCCTCTCTTTGAACAAAATTTTATGCAGAACTCCAAGATAAGTGTAAAGTGGCTCAAGGCTAATACTGGGATGGAGGCCTTTGGCCCCTACCACTCTTTTACAAGCAACACCAACACCTTAGGCAAAGAAACAAGAATGAAAACTACTGGCCTCAGGCACTGTCCTGACACAGGGCCTTGGCACGTACTGTTCCCCAAGCCCAAAACCATGTTCTCCCAACTCTTTTCTCTACCTTTTGATGTCCCTTTTATGTCACCTCCTCTGAGAAGCCTTCCCTGACCATGTTCTCTACCACCATCTCTTATTTATCAGCCCATTGTTTATTTCATGGGACTTATTACTAACTGTAATTATTTATTTACTTCTTGAATATTTTCACCAAAATGTGAGTCATCTGTCTCATCCTTGTATCCTACCATTAGCCCATAACAGTGCCTTTGTGCAAATTAGAAAAAAAAGCCCCTCCTCCAGACAGCTTACTATCATTTGCAGAAATTTATCATGTTAAACCTATAAATCTACAACAACTACAGAATGAAGGGTGTTTCTTGAGTTGTGCAGTGTACAACCTGTGCTGAGTAGCTGAGTGTCTGGTGTGGAGGTGATGCTCAGTAAACACATGGTGACAAATTGTGGGAGGCCTCTACAGCTGTTCTCAGCAGTCTCCCTGAGGCATGAAAGATTTAGGTTAGAGGAAGAAGCCTCTCTTCTACTGTAAGCTCCTGTGAGAAGAGCTAAGGATATGATCCAGGCCAGAGGAAAACAGATGCTAAAGACTTACTACCTCATTTTCTCTCAAAGGCCACGAGACAAAAGCCATGCTGAACAACAGCGGCCCACGGTACAAACGCAGCAAGATTGAGCGGCGCATGAACACAGACATCTTCTTCTGCATTGGGCTCCTCTTCCTCATGTGCCTCATTGGAGCTGTAGGTATGGAATGTTCTGGAAAGAACAAAACCACTGTAAACTTCTGTTTCTTTGGGCAAGTTGTTTCAGCTCTCTGGGTCTCAATTTCCTCATCTATAAAATAGAGTTAATAAAAAATAAATCCCACTCTGTATTTTAATAGTATATCAATCAAATAAAAATGCTTGTGGGGGCACCTGGCTGGCTCAGTTGTAGAGCGTGCGACTCTTGAGCTCAGGATCCTGAGTTCTAGCCCCACGTTGGGGGCGGAGATTACTTTTTAAAAAATGCTTATGAAAACCTACTGAAAGTATTATGTACTCTAAGTATTAGGAATATCATCTATCATTTATTTCTCCAAGAAATACTTACTGAACCCAGGCACTCTCTTAGCATAAGAAAATAAAAAGATGAATTAGTCTGAGGACTGTTCCTTAAAAAGCTCATCGTTTAGCAGGAAGAAGTCCAACACATGAACAGAATTGATAGAATCTGTCCTACACAGTAAGGGCTGCATGCAAGTACTGCCTCAGTTTTCTATTGTTGCTATAAAAAGACAACACAAATTTAGCAGTTTAAGACAATACTCATTTATTCTGTTATAGCGCTGGAGGTCAGATGTCCAAAATTAATTCCACTGGATTAGTTCAAGGGTCAGCAGGGCTCAGTCCTTCTGGAGGCTTTGAGGGGAGACTGTCCCTTGTCTTTTTGAGCTTCTAGTGACTCCTTCCTCTTTCTTCAAAGTGCATTACTCCAATCTCTGCTCACACTTCCTTTTCCTTTTTCTGTAGTAGTATCTCCCTATGCCTCATTTTTATAAGGACATTTATAACTACATCATTGGGCCCACCTGGATAATCAAGGATACTCTTCCCCATCTCAAGACCCTTAACTTAAATCACATTCTCAAAGCCCCTTTTGCCATGTAAGATAGCATATTGATGGGGCCAAGGAACTAGGGTGCGAACATTGGAGGAGGTCATTATTCACCCTAATATTAGTAATATGAGAGCATCAGGGGAGGAAGTCTTCCTTGAAGAGGTACATGGAGCTGATCCCTGAATACAGTTGTCATTCACCACAGGAGGTAGATGCCAGAGGCAGAATGAGGCAGCTGTGAAAAGAGAGAGATCATTCTTAGCCCTGGGAACAGCACAAGCAAAGCGCAGTGGTAGGAAGAATAATTTTATGCAACGGAGCATTTGGCTCTTTGGTGTGGCAAGAGCAAAGCCTAGCATGGAGACCTGATTAGAACCAGGCTGCAGCCATGTTCTATAACTGCTGAGTGTGGAAAGCTGCAGGAGGTATAGACACAAATAATCTGAGCCATTTAAGTTGATTCTCAGAGTATAGGCAAAGAGGGACACTTCCTCTTATCTACTTTCTCTAAGGATGGTCCTCAGGACCTTAAAGGAGACCCCAAAAAGAACCAGGGACAAACAAGAGGAAAAATTAATGTGCTAAGTCCGGAACCCCCTGCTGACCCCAAACCAGTGGGCGACAATGGTGTTTACTCTTTACTTGCCTTGGTCAGAAATTGTGCCCATCACTGTTCTTGGAAGATTGTGTCTGAAAAAATAAGACCTCTTGGGCCCAGGGAGATTTTGTGTGCCACCATGGTGAAGACAGTGGGATTTAGTTTTGTGAGTAGCCTGAGGTTTTTAAGCAAGCTTCCCAGATGTGTCTAATGGCACTCCAGGTGAGGGTGGCCTGCAGCTGGGAGGAGAACACCCAGAGGGCCAGTGAAGTAGGGGAATAACACAATCCGTGTGGGGCTACCTGCATACCTCAGAGACACTGCAGGAACTATTGCCTCTGCTTCAGAACAGGTTTTTCAGGGAATATCACAGCTGGAAAGGACATTTGAGATCATCTCACTATGTCTCTAGAGAAAGGAAGTTAATGATTAAAAGGTCACACAGTGAGATAGGGAAACCACAATCTGCTTGGCAGATTGCCCAAAATAATAAATAAATTGAGACAGGAACAGGGAGGGGCAGAATTGTATGCTGTCTGAGAAACACTACTCATACACAGTGACAGGCCTCCGGTGGTGCCTAATTAAAGCACAGCCCCCGCTGTGAAAGCTTTCAAGTAGTGTCATTCAAGAGTTCTCTATCACATGCTTACTTGGACTGTGTAAAGATGATGTTTCTTTTTTCTTTGCCCAGAATGCCCTCCCCAGGCCTTTCTGATCACCTGATACCCTCCTGGTCTCCAGGACCCCTCAAGGGCTCCTCCTCCATGCAGCCTTCCCTGGTTCCCTTGAAGGCCAGAGTTATTTGCTCTATAATATTACTTTAAAATAACCTCATGTCTGTAAGTCTCCTTTCTTCTGCCGTGTATAATGGTATTGGGCCAAACTTCCTGCGCAAAGAAGCATCTTGGGGACAGGGCAGCATCTCCTGTGCTTTTTTTTTTTAAGGTTTTTTATTTATTTATTTAACAGAGAGAGAGCACAAGCAGGGGGAGCAGCAGGCAGAGGCAGAGGGAGAAGCAGGCTCCCCACTCAGCAGAGAGCCCGATGTGGGGCTCGATCCCAGGACCCTGGGATCATGACCTGAGCCAAAGGCAGCTGCTTAACCAACTGAGCCACCAAGGTGTCCCACCCCTATGCTTTTTATTCCCGGTAGTTCCTACCCTGGGGCTGAGAGCATTATTCACATTTGGTTATTCTATTTTCACTGTAACCCTACAGAGGAGGTATTATTACTAACTGATAGATGAGAAAACTGAGATTCAGAAAGCTCTGTAGCACTTCCTCTTATTAATCCTTAAGTGATGAATGTGGTTATCCCCATCTGCGGACAAGGAAATGGGGCTCAGTCTGCATTTGGATATGTTACTGTGAGTTCTCATAGCATTCCACACTCTGCATAGTACCTCTCACACTGTGTGGGATTTGTCCCTTTACATCTGGTCTCTGACTTGTTAGGGACCTCCTCAAAGACAAGAGATGAGACTGATTCCTTCCTGAATCAATAAATGTTGGATAGAGTGAGGGAGGGAGGGCAGCAGGAAAGAGTGGGTTAACAGAGATATGGGTGGATGGTGTGTGGATGGATGAACTGTGGATGGATGGATGGATGGGTGGATGGATGGATGGATGGATGGATAGATGAACTGTGAAAACATGGATGGGTAGATGGATGGATGGGTATATGCATGGGGGAAGAAGAGGGGCTAGCTTACGGGTCTGTCAAGATCCCCAGCCATGCACTTTCTGCCACACAACTGAAAAGAACTTGTGTCTCCTTTCCTCTTTCCAATCCCTATATAACAGGACTTCATCAAAATATAAGCAATCCCCATGCTAGTCTCCTCACAGTAAGACAGACTTTAATGCCATCAAGGGATTGAAATGTAGGGTATGCAAAGGACCACTTTAGATGAATATATACACACAGAACTAGGCTGTATAGAATAAGGGTGGGATCCTCCAAAGCACAGTCACTTCCAGGAGTAAATTAAGGGCTGGTAGCCCTTAATTAGACTAATATAGAATTAGGTGAGGATTCTGCTTAATCTCTGATTTTGCCCACTCTCAGGTCACTGCCTCTGGAATGGGACCTTTGAAGAACACCCTCCCTTCGATGTGCCAGATGCCAAGGGCAGCTTCCTTCCCCTTGCCCTTGGAGGCTTCTACATGTTCCTTACAATGATCATCCTGCTCCAGGTAGGAAGCCCTCCCTAGCTGGGGGCTCAAGAAGACCTGTGACCAATACCTCCACAATTTTGTGAAATAAAGAAAAAGCAGTGCTGGCCCCAAGAAAGAACTAACTGAACTAAGATGAGAAAATGGTCATTGCTTTCTTGTGAGTCTTTGAAAGTCCTCACATTCGGGGTAATGTCAGGACCAGCCCTACCTTGTGGAAGGAACCTTGCCCCCAAGATAATAGTGAAGGAAAATATTTATCAGGCTTTTCTATTTAAGAGTAAGATTATAGTAGTAATCTAAGTGTACCTGCCCCTTTGCCAGATATAATAGAACAGGTAAAATCCTAATGACCTGGGAACAGAAGAAGATAAAATAGCTCAGAGAACTAGAGAGAACTGTCAAGCCCTAAGGATTGGGAGAAAGAAACCACAGGTTAGTGTTTTAGCATCTGATAGATTGAGAGGGAAAAAACACAACTGGCCCTATAGAGGAGAAAACACAAAACACAGAGCACCTACAAGAAAGGGGCAGTAGGAATAAAAAGATGAATAAATTCTTCAGGCTCTGTAAGGAGGTACAGTCAATGAAAAGATGAGGGAAGTTGCAGTTTTGTTTTCATGAAGCTCCATTTACATTCAGTTTCTTGTATTTGAGGGTGTTTTGTTGTCCTCTTACAGGTAAACTTTTTTCAGTCCTTAGTTCATTCATTCATTTAGCAGAGTAATCTTTTTTAAATGTGAGTTGGACCATACTCTTCCTCTGCATAGAACCCTCCAATGGTTTCACATCTGTTCGAAGAGAAATCCACAGTCCTTATGGCAGTGAAAAAGGCCCTACATGATCTGGACCCTGACTTCCCCACTGGCCTCATCTCCTAGCCATCTCCTGCTCATTCATACAAGACCTGCTTACTCTTTCCCCTCAATTACCCAGCCCACTCCCACCCCAGTCTTTGCCCAGAATATTCCTCTTCCCACAGATAACTTCCTGGTTCACACCCTCATTTCTTCAGGTCTCTGCTCAAAGGTCATGGTTTATAAAAGAATCCCTTCCGGTCACCACCTTCTAACCTCTTGACTTTTCTTTTACACTGCCCGATATATATTTCTTTATTTGTTTACCGGAATGTGAGGTCTTCAAAGCCAGGTATTTGTTCTGCTTGCTGCCATCTCCAGGACCTAGCATAGGATCTGACATACAGCAAGCACTCAGAAGATATTAGGTATTGAATCAGAGACAGTAATCAACAATGGGTCTGAATACATATAAAAGTGAGCGAGAGCACTTGGTGGTATAGAGATCTGAGAGGCATCAGGAAACTCTGGACAGAGGCACTAGAGCTCCTCACCCCCTAACCACTCAGTCATTAAACAACCAATGGTGAGTGCGTACTCCTTACCAGACTTCCCTGGGTGAAGAAGGCACCTTTTTTTCAGATGCCCCTAAGAATTCCAAGGGAGGCATGAAGTCATTGACCTTTAGTTTCTCAGAGAAAGTCCATCATGTGAGCTGACCTCAGCTTTCCATTAACTGCCTTTGCTACCCATTGGTGAGAGTTCTGAGACAGGGCACTGGCCTGGTCTGACACTGTGGGAATCAATCTCCCCACAGGTGCTGATCCCAGTCTCCCTGTACGTGTCCATTGAGCTGGTGAAGCTTGGGCAAGTCTTCTTCCTGCACAATGACCTTGACCTGTATGATGAAGAGACCAATTTGTCCATTCAGTGTCGAGCCCTCAACATCACTGAGGACTTGGGTCAGATCCAGTATGTCTTCTCTGACAAGACGGGGACACTGACTGAGAACAAGATGGTCTTTCGGCGTTGCACTATCATGGGCAGCGAATATTCTCACCAAGAAAATGGTACGAGGGTTCCCAGGGGCCCTCACCACTCTTTCTAAATGAATCACCCTGCTCTCCTAAAAGAATGGTAATGAAAGACATTTTCCTGGCTCCCCACAGAGGTTTCTTGGCTCTGTGGCAGATTGCTTCCTATATCCCTGTGGGCTTCCTTTTCCTAGATCAGTTGTGTTCTTACCACCTATAAACTTTCCTTTGTTCGCAAAGGCTATCAGTGATCTCCTGTGTGGTAGCCCTCCAGTCGGTCTTTGGTGCCATTTACACACAGGGTTGTTATCTGTCGGGAATGGACTGGGGACATGTCCAAATTATGTACCAGTTATACAGCCAAGGTTTAAGAATTTTGGGGGTCACTTTACCTGATGACATGTCAGGACAGGCCTCAGTGTAGATGTATGATCAGATTCAATACATCCAGGAAAAGCCTTCCATGTTAACTGATCTTTTGGATTTTTACTGAGGCAGAGCTTTGACTTCGGAGGTATAGCTGAACAATGCCTGGACTGTCATCACACATGGACTGAAGGTGGCCTGTAAAGCTGACCTGATTTCCTCAGCAGCCCTCCACCATCACCATCACAAACACACCACACATGCTTTCTAACTGAGAGCAGAAACTCTCAAAAGAGCAGCATTCATTCTTTTGAGTGGGAGGAATGGAGAAAAAGAAAGGGGGAGAAATTATGGGTAGCCCAATCACCTTTGCCATGGTGGTAACCATTTACACGGGAGCTTCTGATCTCTTTTTAATAATAGTAACAACTACCATGACCAGTATTAGAGTATATCAGTCACTGTGACACACTATTTTATCAAGTCTTCCAAACAACCCTATGAGTTAGGTAGGGGCACACGTTTAGTCAAAGCTCAGTCACATAGCTAGGAAGTAGTAGAGCTAGATTTGAATCTGTGCACCTTAGTTGCACTCCTCTTTCTCCAGTCGAGGTAGTCCAGTTGCCCATGCTCCAGAGCAGCAAAGTGCTCTTACTCTGTGCTCTTTCCTCCACCCCTAGAGTCTGGGATTCCCTCAGACCGTGACTTGGCCAAAGTATGCCTGGTATAATAGCAGTACTCCTTTCTTGCAGCCAAGCGACTAGAGACCCCAAAGGAGCTTGACTCAGACAGTGAAGAGTGGACCCAGTACCAGTGCCTGTCCTTCCCAGCCCGATGGGCTCAGGGCCCAGCAACACTGAGGGGCCAAAGATGGGCCCAGCCTCTGAGGAGGTGCCACAGTGCCCAGGTACCCATCCAGGGCCACTCCCGACAAAGGTCTGTGGGGCACTGTGAAAGCTCACAGCCTCCCGTGGCCTTCAGCAGTTCCATAGTAAGTACCTGTCTTTTACTCTTCAAGTTGCAAGTGGCCTCTTTTGGGGATAGATGGGAGGGGGCTCTGGGGTATGAAAGAGAAAAGACTATATAAATCCTGAAGAGCTCTCAAAATGGTAGCCCTTGGTCTTATACGCAATCTGCATTATGTGTTTTATTAGGCATATACACTTCTGGTTAATTTTAAATGTTCAGTGTTTAGAAATTGGGAGATTTCATATAAACATATAGATTTCTGGCTTCTCTTTTTAAAAAGGAATTGGAAAATTTCTCCACACTAGCCAACATTTCCTTGAGGCGATAATTGGCTTGAATGATGGAGTTGATGCTCCTTAGACTGGGCATGTGGTCTTCTGTTCATCACAGACTATCTTCCTCTCTGTTTACCCCCATCACTGAACTGAGAACCAGCAGTATGTCCATGATGCATGCTTTTCCAAAATACAGTTAAAGGAAAGAGAAATAGTTGTCATGCCCATGTTTCTATAAGGTGCAAAAACAAGATGGGCCTTAAGGCTTGCAGGCTTCAAGAGTAATGGAAGAATATACTTTTTTGTGATAATCAAAGAATCTTAAATAGTTATAAAGCAAAGAACATCTATGTCAAAATTACCCAGCACACTTAATACTCCTAAATTAATTGCCTGGCCCCTATGGGGATTCAACCTTGCAACTTTGGTCTGGAGCTTTTTGCATATGTTTCCTTCACATTTGATCCAATGGTACAGCTATCACTAAATCCCTGGCATGTAAAGAAATTTAGTTTCTTCCCCAAGATTACACAGCATTCCCTAGAAGGCAAGGCTAGAACTGGAGCTTTCTGATTCCTGTCCCATTCTACTTTCCTCTGCACCATGTTCTTTCTCTAAGAAACATATCATCTAGAATCTTCTGCACTTACAGAAAAGACCACAGGGAGCCCCAGCTATCTTGAACAAGACCCATATCTTAAGAAAGGATGGAAATTCTCTTATCCCATTATTAGAAAATTAGATTTTCAAAATTATCCTCATAATGAATTTCCTTCCAATTTTTATTTTCTCCATTAATACACACATAACTACATATACTTAACATTTTTGCAGTCATAGTACCTACAAATTAAATGTGTGGGGGTTTTTTTTAATCTCAAATAATATCAAAAGCATTTTCCATATTGCTACATAGTTTTTATAACCCAAGACTGTGTTTTCTGATCCTGACGGAAAAGATATGCTGTGAGTCTATGTGTTCTGGGTTATTACTTATTTAACTTCAGGTGAGTACAAAGTTAACTCTCTTATGTTACTACCACACTGAGAAATGCAACATTAGCAAGGATAAAACATTAGCCATGTGTTAAGATATATGATGCTCATAAACATACAAGAGGAATGATCCATAGATGCCTTTAGGAAGAATTTTTTTCTTTTTTCTTTTCTCAGGTAAGATAACAGAACATGCATATTATTGCATCTTTCTCTTCTTCAATTTAATTTTGTCCCCTCTGAATGTAATGCTCTTCCTCCAGCTCTTTACCTAAATATTTGAACAATGCATTTAGTGAATTCTCACCAGGCACAGATTCTAAGTCTTGCACTACATGTGTCTTTTGGAACCTTCCAGTTCTGGATGCCATGGGCATCCCATGTGCCTGAGAATGTCTCCCCCAAGACACAGAGAGGGAAACAGGGAGCTTTCTTTTATATATCTCAGTTGGAACACACAGATTTGCTCCCCCTTGTTCAGCCTGACAAATCTTAGTAGCCCAGGAAAACTGCAGCCCTGAGCCAGCCAGTGTAACTTTTATTCAGGGCCTATCTATCACTAGGGCCTACAATTATCACCAGCTGTTCTAAAAGTTAAATAGCATGATGTCTATGCTGACCTGCAAGGTCCCTTCCAGCTATAAATTAGGTACATTTGGGGTCAAATGCCCCAGGTTTTCATCTCAGCTCTTTCATCTATTCTGTGACTTTGGTCAACTTACTGAGCTAGAACCTCAATGTCTTCATCTTAAAGAAGGATTATTGTTCTGTTTCATGAGTTTATTTTGAGGACTTAATTCTTAAAATCATGTGTTCTAGATAGATAACTCGTGGAAGTCTTAATCTTTCTCAAGGAAAGCTGTCTGACTTGTACAAATGTTCCTATCTGATGACATGGGAAATGGGAGTTTTCATAAAATGCAATGTCAAGCCCTCTCCCCTGAGATTCTGGTAGATTTGATCTAGGGTAGGGCCTGAGCATTCATCTTTTTTATTTCTGATGATTCTAGTGAGCAACAAGATCAAGAACCTCTCTAAGCATAGCATTGCCCCACTAGGAAATAATCTCGATTTGGCTCAAATGGACATTTTCTATAGCTTGGGAGGCATTGGCTGAAGGGGGTGATTTAGGCTACCTTAAAGGGCTCTGACATTAACCCATAAAATATCTGTGGCTGGAGTGGCAGATCCTTGAATTAGTCCATAGAGAATATCTGGGGCAGGCCCAGGTGGACCTCCTGGCTCCTGCCACCACCCACTCTTGGCAGGCTCTCCAAGCTTGTGTCCTCTTCACCTGCCCATCTGGCATCCTGTCTGGTTGGATAATAATCTCTCGGCACCACCAGCTCTTTACCTTCCCTTTGTAAACCAGTGAGAACTTGCCTCTAAAACCTCCACAATGCCAAGTCCTGGCAGAGCAAACACCCTACCACATTCTTTTTTTTTTTTTAAAGATTTTATTTATTTATTTGACAGAGAGACAGCAAGAGAGGGAACACAAGCAGGGGGAGTGGGAGAGGGAGAAGCGGGCTCCCTGCTCGGCTCAATCCCAGGACTCCGGGATCATGACCTGAGCTGAAGGCAGGCGCTTAACGACTGAGCCACCCAGGCGCCCCCTACCACATTCTAAAGAAGCTGGTTGTTGGTTTCCTTGGAACTTTGCCCTAGACCCAAAACAAAATGAGCATCAAGGCTAACAGCAACAAAAGCTGGCTTTTTTTCTTTTACTACAAAGAACAAGGAAGTATTGGTTAATGCCGCCTAATTGGCTGCTATAAAATCTGTGGCTTTAGGGTGGGGATAATACCCTTAGGAAAGTGGTCAGTTGTAAGCCAGGGTTTGAGTACTGGCAGATAGAAAATGAAATGCCCCCCACCCCCACCCCGCCCCACCCTGGTATGTAAGAAGCCAAGATTTGAGCAGAGAGTCTTTGTTTAGAAGTGCCACTTACAAAAGGTTTTCCAGAACCATCAGACCAAAGAATATCTTCCTAATCATAAAATTTGCATTGGGGCCACTAGGCTCCTCCAGATGGCACCACCACTTCCTTCTGTAGGCATGGCCTCTCCCACCTGTCTGGAAAGAATGCAATAGAGAAAAGTAAAGGAGGTGTCTTTGGCCCTCTGCCTCCTTTCCTTAGTCTTGGTCTTCCTTCCTTTCTTTGAAAGAGATATGTGCAGCACTTCGTCTGCTCCAGACTGGTGAGGACAGCCCACAGATACAAACTCCCACTCAAAAGTTAGATAAGAGTCCTGATTTAATTAGCCAAGCACTCAAAATCTTTTTGGAAGTAATGTGACAACACAGGGCAGGAACAGATGAAGCCTGTATCAGCTGCGCTTCCCTTAACTTCCAGGGTACCCGAGGGGCTTCCCTTAACTTCCAGGGTACCCAAGGGTGGTACCCAGCTGCAGTGACCCTGTTTGCATGGGGTGGGGTCTTGCAAGATCTGGAAAACTCCCTTATTGCTAGGCCACTTAGTTTCTTTCCTTGGGGCTTCTGTCCCTTTTGGGAAAAGCTTATCTTAACAACCCACGTGCTTCTATTTAAGCAAATATTTGTTAACATTGGGTTCTCCCAGTTCCTGAATGAGAGGCAGCGTCCTCTAGGTCACAACCTCAGCCTGGGCAAAATCATCACTCTCCTAAACCATAGGTCAGCCTCCAGCTCCCCAGCAACCAGGAAAATTTGTTTTCACGATAGTGATATAGCCACATAATTAAGCGGTAGAAAGTAACTAAAGGTCAAATGATAAAAAATAAGTCTCCTTCCCTCCTCTTCTATTCCCCACAACCCCAGTGACAACCATTATTTGAATTTTCTTGTTTATGACCCAGACACCTATATAGGAGCATACGAGTGTGGTATACATACGAGCACATCCTTTACTGCAAATATTAGCATGCCCTGCACGTTGTTGTGGACTTTGTTTTTTCTTTTTACCTAGTGAATCTGAGGGAATATTTCATAGATGTAGACAGATATTCAATGGAGAGCTGCCTCATCTTTTCTTTTTAATGGCTGTTAGAATTCGTTGGATGTTTGAGCCGTTGTCTTTATAGATGTGTATTTTTCTATAGTATTCATTCTACATAATTGCTAAATTGTGTGTATCTTTTTTATTTTGATTGATACTTCCCAAGAGGTTGTATTAGTTCAGACACTCACCAACAACAAATAGAAGGATCTGCTTCTGTCCACTTCTGCCAATTCTGTGTATCTATTTCTTTGGAATAGCCTGTCGTTTATTGTCAAACATCGAGTAAGCATCCACAATATGGCATATACTGTTCTAAACACTGGGATATAAGGTTTAATAGGGCCTTGTCCCTGATAAACCCAAAAGAGAGGAGAGAAGACCACCAGTGCCAATAGAACACTCCTCTTGGTGCTGAGGGCAGAGGTGCTGTAGGAGCCCAGAAGAGGTGCACCTGCATCAGATGAGGCCTCAAGAGGGCTGCCTGGAAGGGTTAGCACCTGAGCTGAATTTGAGACAAAATTAAAAGCTAACCAGAGCAAAGAGAAGACCATCTAGTGGGGAGAGGTGAGAAATGCAAGTGACATGAAAAACGGGTTTTGAGAAGCAGCTGGAATAAAAGATGGAGGTTGGAGAGAGGTTGAGGAGATGGAGGCCTGGGAAGAACCAAGTCACAAAGATTTTTCTTCCAGGCTAGGCACCAGGGTTCCTGTTGAATTCCACTGCTGGCTCTGTGGATTCCTAATAGCAGCAAACTGCTATACCCAGTGAGTG